AAAATCCCCCCAAAATCCCCCAAAAATCCCCCCAAAACCCCAAAAATCTCCAAAATCCCCCCAAAATTCCCCAAAAAATCCCAAAAAATCTCCAAAATTCCCCCAAAATCCCCAATAAATCCCTAAAAATCCCCAAAAAAATCCAAAAAAATCCCAAAAAATCCCCCAAAAAATCAAAAAAAATCCCCAAAAAATCCCCAAAAATCAAAAAAAATCCTCCAAAAATCCCCAAAAATCCCAAAAAATCCCCGAAAATCCCTCGAAATCCCCAAGAAGTGTGGAAGATTCCGGAATTACCGCGCTGGCGGAAGGTTGGGCTGGGCTCGTAGCGCTCGATCAGGGCCTGGGCGCCGTCGGGGCCGAGCGGGGGGAACAGAATCTCGTTGAGTCTGGGGTCTCTCTGCCGGGAATTGACGAAATCCCGCAGCTGCTCCCGGCTCACGTACGGCTTCCCCGCGGCACCGCTGAGAAACGGCACAAAAAATCCCAAATCAGCGGGGAAATGGCACAAAACAACCCAAAATCAGCACAGAAATGGCACAAAACAACCCAAAATCAGCAGGAAATGACCCAAAACAACCCAAAATCAGCAGGAAATGGCACAAAACAACCCAAAATCAGCAGGAAATGGCACAAAAAATCCCAAATCAGCGGGGAAATGGCCCAAAATAACCCCAAATCAGCAGGAAATGCCCAAAATAACCCAAAATCAGCAGGAAATGACCCAAAACAACCCAAAATCAGCAGGAAGTGACCCAAAACAACCCAAAATCAGCACAGAAATGGCACAAAACAACCCAAAATCAGCACAGAAATGGCACAAAACAACCCAAAATCAGCACAGAAACACAAAAAACAACCCAAAATCAGCACAGAAATGGCACAAAACAACCCAAAATCAGCAGGGAAATGACCCAAAACAACCCAAAATCAGCAGGGAAATGACCCAAAAATCCCCCAAAATCAGTAGAGAAACACAAAAAACAACCCAAAATCAGCACAGAAATGGCCCAAAACAACCCAAAACCAGCAGGGAAACATAAAAAACAACCCAAAATCAGCACAGAAACGTAAAAAACAACCCAAAATCAGCACAGAAATGGCACAAAACAACCCAAAATCAGCACAAAAACACAAAAAACAACCCAAAATCAGCAGGAAATGACCCAAAACAACCCCAAATCAGCAGGGAAATTTAAAAAGACCCAAAATCAGCACAGAAACGGCCCCAGAACACCCAAAATCAACAGGAAAATTTAAAAATACCCCCAAAATCAGCACAGAAACCAAAAAAAAATCCAAAAAACCACCCTAACCCCCCAAAAAACCCCCAAATCCCAGCCCAGAAACCCCAAACAGCCAAAAAACCCCTCAAAATTCATGGGAAACACAAAAAAAACCCCAAAACCGCCCCAAAATCCCTCCCAGAGACCCCAAATCCCAAATCCAGCCCCAAAAATCCCAAATCCAGCCCCAAAAATCCCAAATCGAGACCCAAAATTCCAAATCTGGCCCCCAAAATCCCAAATTTCCCCAAAAAATCCCAAATTTCCCCCCCAAAAAATCCCAAATTTCCCCCCCAAAACTCCAAATTTCCCCCCAAAATCCAGAATTTCCCCCCAAAATCCCACATTTTCTCCCCCAAATCCCAAATTTTCCCCCCTAAATCCAGGATTTTTCCACAAAATCTGGAATTTTCCCCCCCAAATCCCAAATTTCCCCC